AGTATTCCCTTCAGTGAACAGCAAAAGCTGATAGTGGGATGAAGCATGGTGGGAAGAAGGACACTGAAACAAAAAGAGGAAATCTCATTGAAGAAAAGAGTAAGAAGTAGGCTAGAAATTTGGAAGAATTAAACCCTGTATGGCCTTTTAAGCCATTTTATGGTTCATCTTCATAATACATGCTAGATTTTACTGTCACTAAAAAGTAACTGAGGGCAATAGTATTGGATGAAGATTGCTGTAGAAGACAGAGAACCTGATGATTTAAGATGAAGAAAACTTCGTGTAAGCTACTTGCTGCATCTATTCTTGGATCAATTACTCAAATTCTACACATTCTTAACTTTTAAGTACTACTTATACAATAAGAATAGCACTGACTTTTCGGAGCTCATTGGGGCTTAAATGATATAATGTATAAATGAGGCACCAGTTGTACCTTCTTAGCATTATGAGGATAAAATGAATTCCATGTACCATAAAATGTAATGAGTACAGTGAAAAGATGAACTATTGTAGTTGACAAGATATATTTAGCTCCCTATGCTCTCCATTTTCTCTCTCCTCCTTGGTTGGCACTAGAGATAACCACTGAATACTCCAGGAACAGCACAGCCTGCTGTTCAGATGTGACCTTCCTTCCCTTGTGCGCGCGCACACACACACACACACACACACACACACACACACACACGTGCAAAAGAATAATATAATACTGATCACTCTAAGTCTATGAAGACTTGGCTTTAATTAAATTATATACTTAGGTGTACTTTTTTTTAGTTTCTCACTACATAGACCAAGCTGGTCTTGAACTCTGTCTTATTATCTCTGTATCCTGAGTGCAAGGAATTTATCACATTGACTGACACAAATATTTTACGTGCACCTGACCATTAATTCAAATGAATTAAGCTAATTAGCTAAGACCTACTGGAGTATCTCTATTCACAAATAAATAAACAAATATGACATGGAAAAGGTCATGCATTTGGTCTGTATTAGTCATGATTAATAATATAGCACTATGGTAGTCTCTTTGGGACAGAGGCAACCTATAAGATATTATTGTAATTCTCCAGGTGATAATAGTTTGGGCTCAGAATAAACCCAGCTATGATCATCTTCTAGGCATAATCTCATCATTTTTAGACCATTTAAGGAGGCTTAAGTGATCTTGACTGAGACTTGGCATTTCTCAAGAAATTATATCAGGCACTAAAAATATGACTGAAGAACTTGCAGCTAGTTTTTATGTCTGTGGGCTGGAAGGACTCAGACAGAAGAACAATTTACTCTGACTAATTATCTGGCAACAGGGGAGGAGACTGGCAATCACTAAATCACCTTCTGGGGATAGAACTTAAGAGGCAAGGCTTGGGTGGCAAAGCAATTGACTCTTTCCATGGCTTTTGTTGGGGAGATACATAAGGTTCCGGCCACTGCGGAGTCTCCAGATCACTGCCTTCCTTTCTTGATTGAATGGAACAGTCAGTCATCCCGTTCAAGGGCTGGTCTTTCAGGGCTATCACTGGAGGGCCTGCCTCAGCAGATCCCTCTCTACTCAAACATCGAAGGTAAGAGAAACTCTTTGTCTCTCCCTCCTAAATTCACATGGTCCTGATTTGCAGTTTGGTGTTCTTAGGTGGCTTTACAGATAAAAGCTACAGGATTTTGGAACTAGTTCAGCTCATGAATCAAGGATCTATCTGAATTTAGTTGATAGCACAATTATTCTGAGTACATTGTTAATAACTCATCTCCGAGAAAATTTTAGGAATACAATAATGTAAATTTGGATGGGGTTAAATGTTAATAGAAACCCTGTCTTTATATGGTATTTGATATAATCCTCTACCACAAAATATGTCTGTATGGATAATATCATCTTATATAGATTCAAAGAAAAGAGAGAGAAAATAAACATTATGCAACTTAATCAACCTCATACATCAACTAAGGGTTCTAAACAGCTGATCTCATTCAACATCATCACAGCCCCATTCAGCACTTATCATCTTTTTTATATCTTTTAAATACAAGGAAATGTATGTGAGGTGATCTGCCTCCAGGAATTACTACTCAGTCTAGTACTACTAGACTTTAGTGTAATAGCTCAGGTCTGTTTAGTACAAAATCCACTATCTCTCTTTCATACGAAATACCTACTAAATGCTCAGAGCTGCACTAGCATATGCTTATCTGGATTTCCATAGGGCAAGTAGAAAATCCTTCTCACAACTTTGCTCATGTGTCTGAGCTTCCTGGAGAGGTGAGAAGAAAGAGGAGGCTGATATGAAACTTGGCCAGGATGTCCTGAGATCTGGGGGGGGGGGGGGGGGGAGGGGAGGAGTTCCGGGGTTGATGCTGAAGGGTTCATATCTCACTTCAGTCCTAGGTATCATTTTCAGGAATGATGTGAAATTGCAAGTGGACAAGGTGCTGATATTGTTCTCACTCCCTTAGAATTGCACCGCTTCGTGAGTCTAAATTTTTTAGACTTGTAACTTAGCCTGTGATCTAGAATATATTTAAAATGAGAACAGTTCCAAAGCACAGTTTATGACAGACATCAAAACCATCTGATGTGAGACATAACAAAAGGAAATTGTAAAGAAACCCCGAGACTGAAGGAGGGAGGCTGTTTAACAACTGATGTATTTCATGGAGAAATGACCATATTGTTGAGAACAGAATGAATATGTAGAAGTTAGACAAAATCAAGCTTCAGTTTGTCACAGGAAAGAATTTTCAGGGACTCATGTGTTCTAATACTGAAGCATTGAGCCAAGAGATATTGAGACTCCCTGGGTATTAAAGCCCTCCTGATTTCTAGACACTGTCTAATATGGGACTGAGCTAGACAACCTCTGAGATCTCTTCCAGCACTAAGAATTCATATCACATGAAAATTCCAAGGGAAATATTTCATTAGACAACAGAGAGCCCCATTAAGATCGTGATCTTGCCGAGTTCTAATGGCTCATGCCTGCAATCCTAGCTACTCAGGAGGTTGAGATTTAGAGGGTTACAGTTTACAGCCAGCCCAATCAGATACTATCTTGGAGACGCAGCTCCAAAATAACTGGATAAAAGCAGGGCTGTAGGAGTGGATCACGTGGTAGAGCACTATTTGAGTAAGTAAGCTTGAGCAAATGTGAGGCACTGAGTACCACCAAATTTTAAAAGACTATATGATTTCTAGGGCTCTTTAATAAAAATTCTCACCCACATGTGGGTGGTAAGCTAGCCTTTATGTGTTGTTTGTTGTGGGCATCAAAATGCTGAATGAGAACAGAGTAATAGTACTTTTTCCACAGGGCAGAAAATATTGAATGCAAACAAGTAATTTTAATATGAAATAATCCCTTAAAAGTGGAAATATAAAATGGATTGTCATTGTCCATCCATCATGTAATTACTGAGTACCTAAAATGTATGTAACATTTGAGTTAGTGAAAGGGAAAAATAAAAATGTAAGGGAGATAGAAGATCACCCTTGAACTTGCAAGTAATAATGATGGTTATATTTTATTAGGTTACTACTGCTATTGATTAGTCAGGGTGATAGATACCTTATATCACTATCACACTTAAACTCACAATATCTCTTTGAGTCATGCGTAATTTTTAATCACCATTTGTCAGGTAAAGCAATAGTCTCAGAGAGTTTATATTGCCTAGCATCACAGAGAAAGAGATGAATTATTTGAACTGCATCATATAACAATCAAGTTGATTTCATACTGACATGCTGCCCCTCCTCAACATCTTACAGCAAAACGTGCAATAAGCTAAGGACTATCGTAATAATTTAAAACTTGATTGATGCTCAGAAGAGGAAAGGAAAATGAATGACATGGAGACCACAAGTTAGGTCCAGAGAGAGTAATTCATATCCCAAATGCTTTTAACATCCAATCCAATTTGCCCACAAGCTGTGATACTAAGTAGGTTTATGAGAGCGATTTTTACTGGAAATGATATTTCTGGATAGAGGTTTTTCTTAAAAGATCATATTGCATTACAGGAAGTCCTGAAATTTGGAAAGCTGAAAGAAGGTAATACACTAGCTTTTTGTTTTCTGCTTTCTTGAATTTGTATTAGTTTGTGAAAATAATTAGAATGATATGTTTGAGGTGTCATGTCTGTTCATGAAAAGGTTCAAATGGAAGTCAAACAGCTCCCTCCTAGATCTTATATTAGCTCCTGATAAGGAAAGAGAGAGGTGGAAGATGGACTTTCCCATTTATACCCAAACTCATAGAAAGGGTTCTTGGATGTCCAATAGTCTTCGATCACGTTTTCGCTTACTTTCAACAACCTGGATTAACCTATGCTAAATTATCATAGCTTTCTATTTCCATACCTCTGGTTGGATAAGGTTAGAGAAAGCAAGTGTAGGAAGAAATCTGTTTCCTTGAGCTTATTTCTGGCACAGTCAAGCTCTGATAGAGTTTTTTCCTCCCCCCACCTCCCTGATCACTATTCTTCTTTTCTCATGTCCTGAGCTTTTGAGTGTTGCATTCCTATTCTACACTAAGCACTGTAGGAGACATTAAAATATATAAATGAATAAGTAGAATACACAAATAGATATATGAATTAGTGGACGAATGTTCTCCTTTACTCCACAGATTCTCACCCTTTCTTGTGAGTTTTGCTGAATTTAATTTCCATTCGACTCCTTATTAAAATGGTTCTTAATTTCCACCCACTTCCTCTACCAAGGTCTCTGAAGTTTCCCACAGTATCTGTCCCAACTATTGGCACTTAGAAATTGAGTTATAGACACATCTGCTGAAGGACTTCATAAACAAACAACAACAAAAAAAAAAACTGTATTCCAAATTCTTGTTTCTAATTCCAACCTTGATGAACGAGCTTAGACTCTTGGCCCAGGGTAGAAATAAATATATCACCAAGCTGGTAACGTTTCACCAGTCTGAAATTGTTCCTTCTGTGCTTTTAACTCTCGAAATAGAAGATCTGGTAGCTCAATGCGCTGGGAGAATCGCTCCGTGTGGATGGAGTTTGTCTTTCTGGCCTATCCCTCCTGCGAGGAGCTGCGCGTCCTGTGCTTTCTTGGAACCAGCCTGGTTTATGTATTTATCCTCACTGGAAATGTCCTCATTGTGACTTCCATCCAGACAGAAGCTCGCCTGCACACGCCCATGTACTATTTCCTGGGCAGCCTCTCCGGAGTAGAAATATGCTATACTGCCGTGGTGGTCCCCCATATGCTGGCCAACACCCTCCAATCGGAGAAGACCATCACACTCCTGGGCTGTGCTGCTCAGATGGCTTTCTTCATCGGACTCGGCAGTGCTGATTGCTTCCTCTTGGCCGCCATGGCCTATGACCGATACGTTGCCATTTGTCACCCTTTGCAGTACCCGCTCATCATGACTTTGACCCTTTGCGTCCGCCTGGTGGTGGCATCCCTGCTCACTGGCTTGTTTCTAGCCTTCCAGCTGGTGGCCTTCATCTTCTCCCTGCCTTTCTGCCAGGCTCGGGGTATCCAGCACTTCTTTTGTGATGTGCCACCGGTCCTGCGCCTCGTGTGTGCCCAGAGCCACATCCATGAGCAGTCAGTGCTGGTGGCAGCCACTCTAGCCATTGCGGTGCCATTCTTCCTCATCGCCACCTCCTACGTCTTCATAGTGGACGCTGTCCTGCAGGTCCGCTCCGCAGCGGGCCGCCGCCGGGCCTTCTCCACCTGCTCCTCGCACCTCACCGTGGTGCTGCTGCAGTACGGCTGCTGTGCCTTCATGTACCTGCGCCCCAGTTCCAGCTACCAGCCCGAGCAAGACCAGTTCATCTCACTGGTGTACACACTGGGGACCCCGGTGCTGAACCCCCTCATCTATACACTTAGGAACAGTGAGATGAAAGAAGTCATAGGGAAAGTCGTGACCAGGAATTGTCTCTCCCAGAACACCTAGCGCAGGAGAGCGCCACGCAAACAGGGTTTGATTCCTGAGCCACACCGCTCCGCTGATGTCCGAATGGATCGCCTAAAAAAAATAAAATTATATACACATTGTTTACTTCTGCGCACCAAAGACTTTTTAACTGGGTCTGCCCTTTGACTGAGTAATTGCTGTTGGGAGAGGAATAGAAAAGTGACGAACATAAGCTTACCAAGTGACAGGTCGAAGATAGTGTGTATACTTACCATCCGCAGAGCGATGGTTCATTGAGCAGACTTTTGCTCAAAATGTATCAAAGCGTTTATCTACAGCCGTTGCACAGTAACAGTAGCAGAAGGCCACTTTCTCTTTTATCTTGACAAGAGAAAATGAGGCAGAATATTTTTCAGAACCCAAGAAGAGCTTGATATCTGGTGGGGTGAATCAATAGCAGCTTGGGGAAAACAAGTAGTGAGCAACAGAACTACCGTCCATACTTCTGAAATTGCGCAAAGAGTGGGAAGGTAAACTCCATCACCTCTTTCCAATCAAAATCGCTATTTCTTGCCCTATCTGCCATTGGCCAAACCCACACAGGAGCAAGAAGGGCCAGGGAACACACGTGGATCTGTCTACAAAAGTCTTTTTCTGGGGGTATAAAGTATGGAAGAAAAGCACCTTGAGAGTCAAGGACAAACAGAAAGTAACCAGACCAAAATGTTTACTGTGGTATTATCTGTAACCATGAAGAAAGTAACAGTCCAATTTCCACATGATAAAGCATTGGCTAAACAATTGATGTAGATTTAAAGCGTGATTGGGCTTTACATTTGCTTTTCAATATTAGTTATTGCAATTATTAACATTAATAACTGCTTGCTCTATACCAGATATATAAACATTAGACAGAGAGACTATATATAACATATACATGTTTATAAACATACATGTTTTTCTGGTTAATATAGTTTTGCCAGAAATACACCTAGTCGGTAATAGATGCATACAAACGTATTTTCAATCAAGATTCAAAAATCCTATGTTTTCTTATAGAAATGGAAGCATTTCTAAGATGACAAACCAAGAGTGGAGTCAGTATGAGCAGATAATCATGGATTACAAAATAAATCCTAGAGAATATAATTGGGCTGAAATAAAAATAAAGAAGTGTTCTCCACTGCCAGTTCAGAGATTGCTGGCAATGTGCCCAGGTAGATAGATTCACAATTGTTCTGGACTAATGGCTGCAATGTGCTTCTACTTCTTTGCCTTTTGGGTGAAACTTTTATGATCTACACAGAGGCTGGTGCTAATTATAAGATTCTGGATTTTGAGCCTGGATTGTAGTTTTATTACCAACATTTGGTTCATAATGTAGCGTGAGTTTTACTATAATATTCCCTTGTGCCTTCAGAAAGAATGTGAATCCAATGTATGACAAGGGAAGTCAATAAGGGTAACTGTACAAAGAGTATGAGTTTAATATTCAATATCTTTGCATATTTTTCCCTGTGTGTTATCGATTACTCATGGAAGAGGGTTAAAAATCCATAAATATAGTGCTAGATTTGTCCATCTCTCATGTTTGTCTTGACTATATTTCCTGTATTTTAGAGCTCTGCCATTAGATATAAAAATGATTGGCACTGTTATATATTACTGATTAATCAATTTTGTCACTCGGCAACACTCTTTTCCAATGCTGACAATATCTTTGACCCAAAATTCTTGTCTGAGCTTGATACCGTATTGTCTCTTCTATGATTGGTATTTCCATGGTACATATTTTTCCTGCGATTTCTTCCTGGTTTCTCATCTGTAAGGAGTGCCTCTTGTAAAGAAAATAGAACTTAGAACTTACTCTTTCCCTTTTTTAATCCAGCATGAGTTAAAATATATATATATATACCTTTCCCATTTGTTATTTATTTATCTCTCATCGTTTCTGTTGCATGATTCCACTTTTCAAATTGCTTTTTCAATTTCTAAAGCATTGTTAACCCTTTTATTGGCTTTCAAGTCTTTTTTATCTGTTTTTTATTGTAAACATGTACAGAGGGGTCATGAGTAAGGTAGTGAATACATTTCCTATCGAGCATTGTTACCTCCTCTTTTGTTTTTCCCCTACCATCCCTTGGCTCCCCACCTCCCCAACTCCTCCCTCCCCACCTTCAAGTTGTTTTTTTCTTACTTGCTATTGTTTTTAATGTATTTACAATATACTATGTGATTTTTTTTGTTTCTCTTGTATGTTCTTCCCCCATGGTATAACCCCTGTTTTCACTATTTGATGTCGGTGCCCTGCATCTTGTATATACACTTCTCTAATTTGGGGAGGGGAAGGGAAAAAACAAAATGCTTAAATAAGGATACAGGTGGACCCATTGTAACAGTGAGATGTACCAAGACACTATGTTTTAAGTCTTTTGAATTGTATTTTGTGGCTGGAATTTTATCATCTATCATACATTATTGTGAGTCAACTACAGCAAATACAAACAGAGCTTTTAAGGGTGTAATCTTACTTACGGTCCTTCCATATTTGGGAATCTTATTCTCAGAGGAATGAGCCATCCATGCATTTCATCAGAGATGGTGATTTTTTTTAAACAACAGACTTTTTAAAAAAATTTGAAATATTTTCTCACATTTTTCACTTGAAGAATACTTTTCTAAAATTCTAGGAATGCTTATCCTTCCTTTAGTCTTTTAAGAATGTTGTTCCACTGTCCTTAGCTTACAAATCAGGTCAAGTTGTGTATCTAAGAAATGCCTAGGTCATGATGCTTCTCCATTTGCGAACCTGAGAAACAAGACAGAGAATAGATCTGTTCCCAAAATATCATGGTGGATCAGGTGTAGAATAGTGGTTACGGTGTTACTACTAAAAAAAAAAAAAAGTTTTTCTAAACAGAGCAAGTGAGAGATACAGAGAGAGAGAGAGAGAGAGAGATGAGACAGAGACAGAGACAAGACAGAGTGATAAAGAAAACTATTAGTTATCAAGACTTCAGCTATGGCCTCTATAGAGCATATTTTCACACCCTGAGGCCATGGCTTTGCTTTCTGAGACCAAAATTCTGCCAACATAAGCATAGAAAATTTGCATGACTTCATCTTAATGAAAAAGTCAGGTGTGGTAGCACATATCCATTATCCAAGATACAATAAACAGACTAAAATAGGTAGATTGTGGTCCCAGCACACGCCCAGGTAAGAAATGAGACCATACAATAAAGTGGGCTGGGGCATGGGACAGTGATTGACTCCCATGTATGAGACCCTAGGCTCCAGTGCTACACACACACACACACACACACACACACACACACACACACACCATTGCTGCAGGCCCATGGCTTTGCCTCCAGAGTTATTCTTCCCTTTACATGAAAGACAGAAAATATATTCATCTATGTTCTGTTTGTACAACTTTTGGGGGAGTCAAAAAGCCTTCTTTCATTTGTTTTTCTTGGTTTCTTTCAGTACATGCTCTCAAAGCTTCTATCAACTACATTCTCCAAAATGTAACAGGTTTTCCATATACAGCATAGGCATGACTCCACTGGATAACAAGGTCCTATACAAATCTCTCCTGGATAATCCCATTTCTAATCTTAGCTTCCCATGGAGAAGGCTCAGCAGATCCATGGCTCACACATCTTAATTTTTCCAAGAAGCCTTCTATGTAAATGAACATTCTGGCCATTTGATTTTTCCAAAGTTCTGTCAAAATATTATCTAGCCACATGCTTGACTTTCTCTTCAGTGTGCAAGTTCCTGCCAGTAACTCTTATTAAGGATCCTTTCCCGAACATAACACTGGTGAGTCCCTGTTGAGTACAGGAAAGTTATGAGGCTACTTGCCTAGAATCTGCAAGCAAGAACTTTCTATAGTGACCAAACAGAAGAGTTATCCTTAACCCCTTGTCTTAGCTGATAGTTTTTTGTTCAAATATTTTCTCTTTTTTTATTTTGTTAAATGAGATCTTTTGGGAACATTCCTCCTCTTTAGGGACCCATTAATTTTAAGGATATTTCTTGAAGGCTAGTAAATAACCTGGCTAGACCAAGTAAGACTGGACTCTAGGTAAATGTAACAGAATCTGTTTTTGAATACTGAGGAGAATTCAGATCATTCTCTGCCATGACTTCAGTTTGGATTGTTCCATTCTAATGCTATTCCTACAGATATCCATCTCCCTCTACCTCAGTCACAAACTGCTAGGAATTGTCTCTCCTGAGTGTCAACATTGAAAGGACATTATCTCTCTGTTATCTGGTATTATTGAAGACATATGCTATTAGTTAACCCTGGGCAATGGTATACAACAGGAAGCTCATGGACATTCATTCTCCTTTACCCTTTGAGAAGAAGATAGATCAGGTCTCCCTGAGTGGGTTCCCTCCATCATGGCAGGAACTCTGAATACTTCAGCAGAAATGTGAATTTGCTCTTTCGTGCATTTTCTTAGATGGCTAATGGAAAGAAGTAAATTTCAAATTGGTAAGAGCACATCTTAAGATACTTTATCTCTTTCATTTGATTTCTATTTTCTTCTGAGAATAGTTATAGGAGACTAATTTCCATAATGCTTTGCAGTAAGAAGAAGTAGTCTTAAATGTCAATATTGAGTTGTATTGTAGGCAAGAAATGAATTGTTAATGTATTACTATCCATTTCTGCACATGCAGGAGAGGAAGATCTGATAAATAGTTGAATTGCCCAGCACCTCATTAGTAGATGGCCTGGAGGAAATTAAAATCTTCTGCCCTTCTTTCAATATTCTTTCTATAGGAATATCCTGGAAAAGAGGTTTTACTTTTTAAAGTAGCTTGTTAAAACAGAATCAATTCTATTGCCATGTATGTATGACATATGTGCAATGTGTGTTTATGTATATGGGAGCCACTCTGCCAACTTATCTAGTAGGCTGTAGAATCTGGTTTCAGGTATTCCAAATATCTACCAAATACCTTTGGATAAGGCTTTATCGCTGGGACCTCAGTTTTTGTATGTCAAGTAGGAAAAG